CCATCTTGGCCTTCCAAAGTGCTGGGATTACAGGGGTGGGCCACCGCGCCCAGCCAATACTTATTTTTTTGTTTTTTTCCAAGAATGCCTGGTTGCCTGCTGCATCCTCAGCACACAGTAAAGCATCTGGCACATGGTAGGTGCTTAATGAACATTTGCTGATGGATGGAAACCCACAGAGAAAGCGAACCTCACAGCTGAAGCCAAGAGAGAAACTGACCTGCAAGGGGATGCTTCCACACCGTGGCCCTCCCACCTCCTTGCCTCCCGCCCTTACCCTGCTCACCTATGACTCTGAGCCAGGTCATCCCTCGGACGGACCCCTTGGGGAAGGTGGCAAACTCGCAGGTGTAGTTGCCTTCGTCCTCCACCGTGAGCCCGCGGAGGGCCAGCGTGGCGTCCTGGAGCTCCGCCTCTGTGTCTTGCCGAGTGCTCTGCTTGGCAGAGACGAAGGACAGCCGCTCGCTGCCGGGCTTCGGGCTGGGGAAGCTGGGACCCATCTTAGGGTGGAAGGCGGCCACATTCTGGTGGTCTGGAGGTGCATCTGGGCGCTGCCAGGTCACCAGGGAGATGTACAGTCCAGGAACAGGTGGCAGCAGGTGGCACGGCAGCTCCACGGTGCCCCCGAGCTGGCCTCGCACCTCGGGTAGTACTTGAACTCGCACATCCTGGGCTCCTGGGCAGAGAGGACAGAGAGTGAAGAAGTCGGGTGGGGGAGGAACCCAGACACCTCCAGGCAGGGCCACCACAAAGGGGGCCCCACGGGAAATGCAGGCTCCATATGTAATGCAGGCAGCTTTGCAGCATCCTGATTCTGAAAAAGTCACCTGGAAAAGACATTTTAGGGAAGACTAAAATGACTATTCTATTATATTACTACGACACGTACTATGAAGTCATATTACGTATGATTTTGGAATTGCTGTTCATATTCCTAGGTGTGATAATTAAACTGTGGCTATGCACATTATTTTTCCCAGAAGATATGAAGTCGCAGTGTCATGATTTCAAGTTACTCGTAAATGGTTCAGCAAAAAACAAAATATGTCACCCATTGTTAAGGGGGTCTAGGTGGGGAGGGTGAGGGAGGCTCCAGGCCATTCTTTTTTTGTTTTTGAGACAGAGTCTTGCTCTGTCGCCCAGGCTGGAGTGCAGTGGCGTGATCTCAGCTCACTGCAAGCTCTGCCTCCCGGGTTCACACCATTCTCCTGTCTCAGCCTCCCGAGTAGCTGGGACTACAGGCACCTGCCACCATGCCTGGCTAGTTTTTTTCTTTTTTGTATTTTTAGTAGAGACGGGGTTTCACCGTGTTAGCCAGGATGGTCTCAATCTCCTGACCTTGTGATCTGCTTGCCTCAGCCTCCCAAAGTGCTGGGATTAAAGGCGTGAGCCACCGTGCCCAACCACCAGGCCATTCTTCTTACCTACACTTGTATGTTTAAAAGTTGACATGATGGCCAGGGTGGTGGCTCAAGACTTTAATCTCAGCACTTTGGGAAGCCAAGGTGGGAGGAATGCTTGAGCCTAAGAGTTCAAGATCGGCCTGGGCAATAGAGTGAGACCCTGCCTTTAAAATTAAAAAACAAAATAAATCAATAAAAATTTTATTTTCTTTAAACTAAATTTTGTTTTCCTCAGACAGGGTCTCACTTTCACCCAGGCTGGAATGCAGTGGCCAACTCAGCTCACTGCAGCCTCGACCTCCCAGGTTCAGGCTGGGACTACAGGCGTGCACCACCACACCTGGCTAATTTGTAATTTTTTTTTGGTAGAGATAATGTCTCGCTATGTTGCCCAGGCTGGTCTTGAACTCCTGGACTCAAGTGATCCTCCCACCTCAGCCTCCCAAAGTGCTGGGATTATAGGCGTGAGCCACTGCACCCGGCCCACCCCAAAATTTTCATAAAATGTTTTTTTTTTTTTTTGAGTGGGGGGGAATCATCTGAAAATAAATCAATTTAAAAAATTTTTCATACAATACATTTTAAAACATTTAAAGGCTGAGTATAATCTTCATCACCCCCCTCAGTAATATACTTTCTCTCACCTTCCTATGAAACCTACAGCCCTCCCTATATAGTATTTTTTTCCCAAGTTCCTTTCTTTTTTTTTGAGACCGAGTCTTGCTGTGTTGCCCAGCCTGGAGTGCAGTCATGCAGTCTTGGTCACTGTAACCTCCACCCCCGGTTCAAGGGATTCTTGTGCCTCAGCCTCCCGAGTAGCTGGGATTACAGGCGACCGCCACCATGTCCAGCTAATTTTTGTATTTTTAGTAGAGACAGGGTTTCACCATGTTGGCCAGACTGGTCTTGAACTCCTGACCTCAGGTGATCCGTTCCCCCTTGGCCCTAAGTTTCTATTTTTTATTAAAATAAAAATTTAAAAAGTATTATATTTTTAGCAGGTGCGAGTGCTGGTTTCTTACTTACATATATTGCGTTGAGGTGAAGTCTGGGCTTTTAGCGTATCCATCACCTGAATAGCAAACATTGTACCCAACAGTTAATTTTTCTTTTTCTTTTTATAGGGTCTCACTCTGTCTCCCAGGCTGAAGTACAGTGGCACCATCCTGGCTCACTGCAACCTGAGTGGCTGGGACTGCAGGTGTGCGCCACCAATGCCTGGCTAATTTTTTATTTTGTAGAGACAGGGTTTTGCCATGTTGCCCAGTCTGGTCTCAAACTCCTGAACTCAAAGTGAGCAGCCCGCCTGATCCTCCCACAGTGCTGGGATTATAGACATGCACCAACGCACCTGACCTCCAACAGTTAATTTTTCTTTTTTTTGAGACGGAGTCTTGCACTGTTGTCTGGGCTGGAGTGCAGTGGTGTGATCTCGGCTCACTGCAACCTCCACCTTCCAACTTCAAGCGATTCTCCTGCCTCAGCCTCCCGAGTAGCTGGCATTACAGGCACACGCTACCACGTCCGGCTAATTTTTTAATATTTTTAATAGAGATGGGGTTTCACTATGTTGGCCAGGCTGGCCTCGAACATCTGACCTCATGATCCACCTGCCTCGGCCTCCCAAAGTGCTGGGATTATAGGCGTGCGCCACCGTGCCCAGCCTCCGACCGTTAATTTTTCAACCCTCACCCCTTTCCCTCCCTCCCACCTTTTGTAGTCTCCACTGTCCATTATTCCAATCTTTGTGTCCATGTATATTTGCTGTTTAGCTTCCACTTATAAGTGAGAACATGTGGTATTTTGACTTTCTATTTCACTTAGGATAATGGCCTCCAGTTCCACCTCCATGGTGCAAAAGACATGATTCCATCCTTTTTTATGGCTGTGTACTATTCCATGATAGATATGTACCACATTTTCTTTCTTTTTTTTTATTGTAAGTTCCAGGGTACATGTGCAGGATGTGCAGGTTTCTTACGTAGGTAAACATGTGCCATGGTGGTTTGCTGCACCTATCAACCCATCACCTAGGTAGTAAGCCGAACATGCATTTGCTATTTTTCCTAATGGTCTCCCTTTCCCTACCCACCCCCGCAACCCCACTGCAACAGGCCCAGTGTGTGCTGTTCCCCTCCCCATGTCCATGTGTTCTCATTGTGCAGCTCCCACTTATAAGTGAGAACATGTGGTGGTTGGTTTTCTGTTCCTATGTTAGTTGCTAAGGATAATGGCTTCCAGCGCCATCCATGTCCCTGCAAAGGACATGATCCTGTTCCTTTTTATGGCTGTGTAGTATTCCGCGGTATATATGTACATTTTCTTTATCCAGTCTATCCATGATGGGCATTTGGATTGAGTCCATGTCTTTGCTATTATGAATAGTCCTGCAATGAACATACACATGCATGTATCTTTGTAATATAACGACTTACATTATTTTGGGTATATACCCAGTAAGGGATTGCTAGGTCAAATGGTATTTCTGGTTCTAGATCTTTGAGGAATCGTCATACCGTCTTCATAACGGTTCAACTAATTTACATTCCCACTAGCAGTGTAAAAGTATTCCTATTTCTCCGCAGCCTTGCCTGCATCAGTTGTTTCTTGACTTTTTTT